ATGAACCAGGAAGGAGACCAGGTTCCAGGCTTCTGGTTTTCTGTTCTGCTAGGACAGGAGGGTCAACTCTGGGGACAGTGCCTGAGGGCAGAGCCTCCCCCACCACCAGGGAAGTGCCAGAGAATGAGGTCTGGATCCCCGCTCTGTTGACAGCCCCAGGAAAACAAGTCGGGGAGCCCGGGCACCCCATTTCCCTCTCAGCTCCCACCCTGTGGGCTGTAGGACATGATGAGGGCTCTGGGCCTGGTTGTGGGTGGATAGAAGGTATTGGAGGGTCTGGAGCAGAGGAGTGAGGCTGTTTGTATGGCATTTAGGAAGCGCTCTGTGGCTGCTGTAGGGAATAAAGGGGAGATGCAAAAGCAACAGCCAGGGACTGTCAGGTGCCCCTCCTGCACCTGGGTGACTAGCCACCATTGCAGCAGCCCCAGGGCGAGGCGGGCAAGACCCAGAGACCATAGGGCAGGCTGAGGTTTATGTGAGCACAAGACTCTGAGGCGCTTCCTCTTGACCCCACGCACGACATAGAAACTGGTAAGAAGGGCGAGCTCTCCCACCCCAGAGGGAATGGCAGCCTGGAGAAGGTGCCCAACTCCTGCCATCTGCACCAACAGAGCCTCTAATGCTCATGAGCACCTGGGTCCCTGATCTGGATTTCTGGGCCTGTGCAAGTGGGCACCCGTTCTGCCTGTGACTTACTGTTGGCAAGAAAGGGGAGGAGCAGTGACGAAGAAAGTCAGGTGTCCAGTTTGGGACGATTTGAGATGACTACGGGGGTTTCAAAGCTCTTCAGTCATGCAGTTGGACAGAGGCCCTTGGAGGTACAGACTCAGGAGCTGTCGGCATTCGAGTAGGATGGACAGCCAATGGGCAGTGAGGTCGTCGGGCAATGGACGCACGGAAGCTACCAAGCCAAGAGCGAGGCTCTCTCTTGTTGGGGTCATATGGTCCGAGGGGACGTTGACTTGAGAGGTATGGGCAGTACTGGTGCCTCGTGTGATCTTGGCGTCGATGTGGAGGACGTTCACCACTGGCTGTCAGGATTGACTGCTGTGACCATCATGGGCCCCGCCTGTCCCCTGCCCAGGTGTCGAGGCTTGGCTGGGCAAACAGAAACGATTATTTATTTTAAATTCATGTGGAACATATCCATCAGTGGATATGTTGCTCTGTGTAGATGTGTGTGTGTGTGTGTGTGTGTGTGTGTGTGTGTGTGTGTTGGTCAAAGTTTTCCAATTGCACTTGCAGTGAGTGGCTGGACCACTTCCCCAGCATGATGGAGAGTGAGACGCCTGTCAGGGAGCCATGGTCGGTCCCCTGACTGCACCCATTCTATGTCCGCTTGGGTTTCTTGTGTGTTCAGCTGCCAGCAAACCCTGGGCACCTGTCCCCTTGGTGAGGACCTGAAGGCAGCCAGAGAGCAGCTGTGGAGAGGATGAGCAGGGACCAGGGGAAGGATCAGGGCAAGAGGGGAAGACAGAAAGGGAGACCACGTGGCTCCCGTGTCCTGGGCAGGGCTGGCTCCTAGCCTGGTCACGTCACAGGGGAGCTGACCCAGGGACAGAGAAGACACCAGGCATTGCCAACCAGCAGAGCTCCACATGGCCAGCACCAGGACTTGGACAGGACGGAGGTCACACCACAGCTGCCAGGACATCTGGTGCCTTGGTGGCCACCAGCCTGTCCCTCCCACTCCTGGGACTCCCAGGATGCAGCCTGGGCCTGGGCCTCCCTCACTCCGTCTGCCCTGTGGGCCCCCTTGGTCCCAGACTCCCAGGCTCCTTCTTGCCCGGGTCCTGGGCATAGGGGCCTCCCTCTGCTCCTGGAGCCTACCAGGTTGTCTCACCAGCTTCCTGTCCACTGGGACCCAGGCCACCGCTCTGGCAGGCAGGCAGGCCATCCCTGAGCACTGTGGCCTGCAGAGGAGCCGCGAAGGCCTCACCTCCCAGCCACACCCCACCGCCCCTCCTCACTGCCCCCTGCCCCTGTTGGGAGGATGGAGCTGCACCTGGGAATGACCTTGCTGCCCCAGGTATGAGTAGGTATGCCGTACACAGTGGGACTGAGTGAATCAAGGCAGAAGAGCTGAAATCCGTCCCCTCACCTGCACGTGATGTGGTACCTAGCTTGCAGCTGGCTTGCCTCGGGGTGGAACCCACCAGCCAGTTTGGCCTAGGAACCGGCTGCTCCTCCGCAGCCCAGCTCTGTCATAATCAGCTTGGTGGGAGTGCGATTCACCAGCATCGGTGTTGAGTGTGGCAGTGAGTTCCTGTGAAGGTGCATGTGAGCCCCACACTACCCAGACCCGCAGGGCTTGCTGTCCCAGGGCCTAACAAGCCTCTTCCCCATGCCCCACTCCCGCACTCTGACCTGCTTATTCCACTAAAGGTCAAGCTTGTTCCTGGAGTGTCACAGGAGTGGGGTCCCATGGCACGTGCTTGTGGCAGACATCACATGGTGGCACTCACCCTCCAGCTGCAGGAGCAGCAGAGGCTGACAGTCCCAGCTATCATTCCTCCTGGCTCACTGCTGGCTGAGGCCACCCTTCCCCAGCCTCCCCAGCCCAGAGCTCAGCCCCAGTGATACTGTGGGTCCATCCCTCAAGACAAAAATTTCTTAGAATGACGTTGTCGTCAGTCTAAGGCTCTTCCTCAAAATACCACCCCCTCTCCCTCTCCCATCTCAAGCAACAGGCCTCATCATAATGAAGTCACCTGCTGATTTCTGCTCTGACCCCTGTTTTAAGGACTTTCCCCCAGTTCACCTTTAGCACATTCTCATCCCATCTTACTGTCTGCTTCTTGGAGGGCTCAAAACAATGCTTGGACTGGCTTTCTTCTCTCAGCTTTACCTTTTTGAGATTCTCTCATGATGTTTGTCAGCCATGTGTTTCTTTTCCTTACTGTGTAGTATTCCATTGTGTGAACATACACTATTCACTGATGGATTCATTGACTCATGGATCTTTGGGTGGAGTCCAGTTCTTGGCCTCAAGCATATGAACATTCAGGCCCAAGTCTCCGTGTGGGCATGTGCTTTCATTTCTCCTGAGGGTATAACTAAAAGTGGTGGCGAGCTAAGAACAAGGCTAACTGCTTAGAAAGAACTTTCCAAAGAGTCGTAGCCTATTTTTCACATCCCCATGAGCAACACAGTAGTGTTCAAATCGCTTCACACTCTTGCTAGCAATTGATGTTGATTTCTTAAATCCTAATGGGGAGTCATGGCACCCCGCTGTGCGGGTTCCGTTTTCCTGATGGTCGGGTTTGGGGTCCCCTGGCTCCCTGATTGTCGCGATGCTTTTCCTGGTGTTGGCTTCTGCAGGTGTTTGCTCGCTGAGACTTAGGACTTTTTTGCATTTTCTGATGTGAGTCATTTGTCAGGGGTGTGCGTTGTGACTTGTCCCAGTTTGTGGCCTGCATTTAATTTACATGATGACATCTTGAAACCAGGAGCACAGGCATTTGACATCTTGACAAGGCGAATGGATCCCACTTTCCTTCGCGCTTCTTGCCCTCTGTGACCTGCTTATGCAATCGTGGCCTGCTCCAGGGCCATGTATTTGTATCTGTTTCAGGTGAATTGTAAAATAACATCACCTTTTCCATCCAGAGTTAACCTTGGAGTCTGATGGGGGTGATGGTTGGGTTTTATTTATTTTGTACATGGACACCCGGTTGTGCTAGGCTGTGTCTCCTATGGAGTCACATTGTCAGGCTTATCAAAGCTATGTACATGTCAGCGTGCATGTACATCCTCTGTTCCACTGCCTGACCATTCCTCTGACCATGGGCATATGCACATGCACATACACACACACACACACACACACACACACACACACACACACACACCCTGCACGTTGCTGGTTAGCACAGTTTATACATAGTGTTCACATCAGTTAGCAATCTGAATTTAATACCTAAGAAAACCACAGCATTTCAAATAACGTCCCAAACATTGAGCATGTCAGTGACAGCTCTTGTGAAGGACCAGTGTCTGAGACCTTGGAAAAAAATAACTGTTGAGAGAAATTAAAGGACTGAGTGCAGAGGGTCCAGACCAGGCTCAGGACTCAGGACCCCCGGCCTCTGGTTGGGAAATCTAAAATGACCCCTAAAGTGCCTGAGGGTTTCTGTGAAATCCCAGCCAAGGTTTCAGAAACTGCTCTTTGTAGGATCGTCAAGCCAGTTCTAGAACTTACGTGGAAATAGAGCAACAAAGTAAGTGTGAGAAGGGAGACCAGCGGCTGTGAACCTGCCCCGGTCACTCGGTGTCCAGCGGTCAGGACTCTCTCACCAGGACCCCATTTCTGTATCTCCCCTCTTGTTCTTCCTGCCAATTTTGTCACACATTTTACCTCCATGCCTAAGTCCCAGAGTTCATTAATCTTACTAGCCTTTAAGATTGCAATTAACGTTCCTGTTAACTGAACAATGAGAGAATGCTTTCCTGTGCGCTTGCCAACGTGCTTAAGGCCTAGGGCGGTTCTGTTCTCAGAGAGCCCTCCCGTCTCATATTCCCGTAGAGCAGGGCACTCTGCCGTGGCCCAGCTCCCAGGCTTCGGCCACACAGGGTAGTTTTGCCTGTGCTTTTACTAACACATCTGGGCTGCGTCACCATCCCCAGGAGACTCTTTCCCAATGTCTCAGCACTTTGAAGATCTTATTCTATATGATTCCACTGTGTGGTTTGCAATGAAAGTCTTCCTTCATTTTGTTTTCTAGTTTTCTCTCTTTCCCTACATAAAACACACACACCCCAAAATGCTATTACACCCCCACACACACAAAAAATAACACACATTCTATGCACACTCAAACACACATTCACACACACTCACAAATACTTACACTCACATACATCTCAAGAACACACAAACTATCATACACACCTACAAATACCCAGACACACTCATACACACACTCACATGACCCCCACAAACACCCACACTCACACACCCTCTCGTACACACACACTCACACACCCTTTCAAGATATCACTTGTTTTAACAAATTTTATTGTGCTGGATCCCAAAATACTTCTCTTTCTGTGTCTTCTGCTTGCAGTTTATTCATATTTTTAAATTTGTGCTTCACACTTTTCATAAAATCTGGAACTTTTCAGCCCTTATTTCTGTAGTTGTGTTTGAATTCTCGCTTTTCTCCTCTCCTGTTTGGACTTCAATCACATCTAGAAGCTAAATATAGGACGCTGCAAAGGAACACATTATTTTTCTTCAATAATCAAAAATCACACGCCTCTACCCAAAGAATAAGCTGCAAAATGAAGCACAGAGAAAAATGATTCTTCAAAAAGCAAATATCAACCCAAAACACACAGGGCCAAAGCTGCCTTTGTACCTCCAGGCCGTGAGAAGCGGCATCGGTCTCGCCCATGATGGTTTCGTTCACACCATTCCCCTCCCTCCCCGAAGCACGTGTGCCAAGTGTCCTTAGAGTAACGCTTGAGGTTTCCAATTTAGAAATCCCATAATAGACACAGAGAGCTATTCTCTTAAGGCTAGACCATATCTATGTAAGTCAGCATTTAGATAAGACAGGATGGTGCATCATATTGTGTGTGAAAATTCTAGCTCTGTTCGTCCTCCTAGGCAGATGTGCTCACATACCAGCATGTAAATATTTTCCCATCATTCACTCATTCAATACACAATAAACGTGGCACCATGATGTGCACTAGAAATGTGTCCCAATAAATAAGTTGCCTCTGAGCTGCCTTAAGTGCTAAGCTGGGGGTTAGTATTGCTTCAAGCGTTTCCTGGTTTTGACGTCTTCATTGTTTTCATAGCTGACACCTACCTAATAGTGCAAGCCAGCATCTGCACAAATGTCACCTTGGGTTGTCCTGAACTTCATCAACCCGTCTCTGCTTCTGATTGTTTTCTCTTTGAGCAGACTTATTGGCATTCACTCCTAAACTTATTTTAAATTAATGCTTGATTTCTAGCACTTAGAAAAATACATAACATGCAAAGTGCCCACAGGTCTTCCTGAATTGAATGTTCTTCTCACTGCAAAGGTTGGATGCTTCTCAAAGTGTGTTCTGAGGTTGTGCACACAGTAGCCACCACTGCACCTTCCGGGCTGTTGAGTGCATGGGTTTGAGGCCTTCTCTCCTCAGTCCTTTGTCCTGGTGTTGGGGGGCTCACTCTTAGCTCTGCATTGGACCAGTCGACCTTAGTGTTCTGAGACTGGGTGACATGGTACATACCGCCACAAGTGAGTAGTGTGTGTGTGTGTGTGGGGGGGGGCACTCCTGTTCTCCCGGGGCACAGATTGAAAATCAAGTTGTCTGGACAGCAGGACTTGTTCCTTCGACACCTTGTGACTGAAGCCAAGAGACTGCTGCCGGCCACATCACACGTGTTCCAGTCAATAAGAACCTGAAAATCACTTCTGGTCTCACAGTCCTGCTCGCACCTGTGCCCACGAGAGAAACTGATGGTGTCCACAAGCAAAGAGAATCTTGAATTCCCGTCTGATTCCTGGTATGGCTACCCACAGGTGCCGAAATCCACCTCTCCAGATCGCCCTCCAACCTGAGGGCAGCAAAGCCCGAGGTTAGTCCTTAGGGTAGTGCAACTTCAGCTTCCACCCACCCAATGATGTACAGGTGCAGCTACATTTCACCTCGAAGACTTTCCCCGCATGATGACGGGAGCTGTTCTTGTGGCTCCTTTATTAAATAATCAGTGATAATAGCGTGTCACTCGATATAGGACATGAGGGAAACCCCCATCCTTCTCTCTGGTCCCTGGGGCCATTTCTCAGGTGGTATTTCTCCCTGCCAAGGTCCTTACTGCCTTAACACAGGAGAACCCTGTGGCTAGTTAGGACTTGGGAAGGGCTCTGCCGAAAGCAGGATCAATTGCTGCACAGTCTAGAAAGAGACCTCAAAGTGCAGGCACCTCAGGGTTTCGGGGATTCTGTTTAAAGTGGCAGGTGGCTTGAGGGGACAGGGAGAGCAGAAGGAGTGCCTCCTGACCATGCCTCTTTGAAGCACAAAACCTTACAGCAAAGGCATGTCTAACAGAATCTCTACAGTTTCCATGTTGGGCTGATCCACCAAATAATCCATACAACATGAGAATTCCAGGGGAGCTCATTTCCCCATCTTGGCAGGCAGGTAGGTGCCCTGAGACAGGAAAAAAAGACCTAAAGAGACAGTTGAAAGGAAGCACCTTGCTCACAGTTATGCAAATCACACACTGGGCACGTCCTTGGGGATCTGAGGATTGCAATGGGCATCTGTGCACATGGGGGAAATGAAAAGGATGGACGGAGCTGCAGAGGTCCACTGCTCATTTCTTACAGAAGCACCAGGTCACGCTCTCCACAACGAACTGGTCTGTGCTTATGAAGTATGACGGGGCCTTGCAGGTGAGGCCATGCAGGGGTGGCCCTTGGCGGAACACCCTGAGGATGTAATAGCCAGGACTTCACAGCATGAGACCTCGGGCCCCAAACACTGTGGGTGGAATCCAGGAGTGGAGGATGTCGGCACAGTCACGTCAGGAAGGAACGAGAACTTGCTCAGGTGGGTGATTCTCCACAGCCAGTGGAAATGACCTTGTGTGTTAGTGCTCATGGTGAGTGGACCATGCCAAGGCACCTTCCAGGAACAAATATGGGGTGAGACCCTCCAGATTGTCCTGAGACAGTCTCCCTCAGGATGGTCAAGGGATGAAGCTTCAGTCCCTAAAGTCCCGGGGTGCCATTTTTGGATGTGTCTGCTAGCCAGTGGACCCTCCAAGGCAGAGGTAATTATTCTGACCTCTAAATAGCAAGCATGGTTGTGACATAACACAGGGGAATGCCCCAGAGTAATGAAGATGGCATCTGTGGCTGGGGCCAGTGGTTTAGTCAGCTAGTTCATTGCTACAACCAAAAGACCTCACAAGAATAATTTTAGGAGAAAAAGTTCACTTTGGGGATCATGGTTTCAGAGGTCTCAGTTCATGGACAGCTGGCTCCATTCCTCAGGGCTCGAAGTCAGGCAGAACATTATGGTGGAAGAGTGGGGTGGAGGACATGGCACCAGGAGACAGAGAGCATTGAGCTCAACACACGAAATATACACCCAATGCCCGCCTCCTCCAGACACAGCCCACCCACCTCAGTTACCCCCCAGCTCACCCCTATCAGAAGATTCACCCACGGATGAGGTCAGGGATCTCATACCCCTATAAGGTCACCTCTGAACGTTCTTGGGCTGTTTCACACGTGAGTTTTGGGGGACACCTCACATCTGAACCATAACAGCCTTGTACATCTCCAGAGAACAACTCTGCCAAGGGCTTTTCATACATTACCAAGACGAAGAGGTAAGGAGAGGGCTTCTGTGAGCCAGGAGATCTGTAGACTCTTTTCTGTTTCACCAACAGTCTACATAGTTAAATTGGACAAAAAGTACATTTTTGAACACCAGTCTTATCAGTTGGAATTGGTCTCCCCACCCTTGGGTACGATGCATAGTGGACACTCTAATGTCCACATGGGACTCTCATCAGTAGCAACCAAGCTTTAGCTCAGAGACCGGTCATTCTCTGGGGATTGCTCTGCCCAAAGGGAACCATCTCTCAGTGTACGGCCCCTGGGCAGCTGCATCCATCATGGTAAATAGAGAAGATAGATTCTGTTGCAACTTCTTTGCTCAGGGCAGCTGTGAAGAGGCAGCCCAGCCCCAGAGAATCCCCTGGGATTGGGACACTGAATTGCAACTTGGTCTCAGAGCTTCATTGCCTATGCTTCTTGCCCTCCGACTCCCTCAGAGATGCTGCTCTGGAGAACTCTGCTTGGTGCGCCTCCATCTTGGAGCATCTTAGAGGACACTGAAGACACTTTTTAAAAGAGAATTTCATTAACACGTGGATTGATGTACAGGCACGGCATGCATGCCTGTGACAGCCACATCCCCAGGACATACCAGAAAAGGCTCAGAGAATTCCTCTACACCAGAGGCTGTAAACATGGAAGACAAGTTGGATGAAGTGAGCTCACAGTTGATGCCTCAGGTTTACAAAAGTTTGCATTCATTATCACTTTCAGTACTAGAGAGCTTGCCTTCAATACAGACTATCTAACTTTAAAATAAAAATCAGAGAAGTGGCAATAAGGGGCATGCATGCTACCCAGTGTCAATCAGCTGGGGGTGAGGTGGTCACCTCTGCCCTCTTCAGCCAACGTAGGAGCCCTGGGTGAGCCAGAATCCCCACTTCCTGCCATCTCACACTGTTTAGTGTTCTTCATCTCCATAACCTGCCTGGCCCTGCAGGCAACTGGCTCTATGGCTTCTGTCTCGCCCCCCGACTTCTGTTTTTACTGTAGAAGAGGCTTCATTCTAAAGGCCAGAGATGGCTCTTCTGTTCTAGCCTCTCTCTCTTTTTGGAGGAACAGAGTTCATTTACTTGACCATCTGGCCACATGAGCTCAGTGTGAGGATGTCCCCACACCTAGTTTCCGGTAGAATGTATCTGCCATGAATTTATCTTCATTCTGCTTTCAGAAATTGGACTGAAGATGGAATGGAGTTAAGCTGCTTGGTACACAGCGTATTTGTTTTCATTGCTGAGGTATGCAAGGCCCCGCTATTGTTTTATTTATACTATTAATTTAAATTATCTCCTATTCTGCGCTCCTCCTCCCCATCCCATCAGCACGACTGTAGCGTGTGGTTTGCTTTCTTGAGGCCATCTGCGGTGTGTATCATGCATGTAAATGAACATGCTGTAACTTCCATCTGCATAGTTTGAACCTGGTCTCATCCCTGTTTCTAACATTTTTCAATTTGATGTGTCTGTAGGAGGCACATGTTCACCTAGGGAGTGTTTTGTTTTGACTGTGTGAATGTACTTTAGCCTCAAGTAAAGTTCTAATTATCATAAATATCTCTTGGCCCTTGGTAAACCGGAGCTGGGGTGGAGACAGGGTCAGTAACCTCTGGTCCATCAGGACTCAGCGGCTCCTTTTCATGCATCCAGCTTCTGCCCTCTCTGTGCTCTAAGGTCAGCTCCGAAAACCAGAAAAGCTCTCCCCGTTTTCCCTCCATGAAGAGTGTTTTGCATTGAGCACTGATTGTTTTTATTTTTATTCTTTGGTTGTGATGAGTTTGTCATCCAAGGATGCAACTTTCATCACCTTCATAACGTTCCTTAATCTTTTCCCAGTCTGCACCCACTAGGGCAGCTTTTTCTTCATCAGCTACCTCCTCCCTTGCAGACCCGGGACCTCAGGGCCAGAAGCGTTCATTACTGTCT